GAATCTGTATCGTAACATAACAGGAAGAACGAAGAAAAATACTCGATAGTTTTTATCTTTGTTGCCCGGGGGTGCACTCGATGTAAACTCTTCCCAAAATTAATTTCTTTGTTTTGTGTTATTGTTTCGTTTTAATTTTTAAATAGATATTTTAGGACGAACATAATTCTTTGATCAATATCTTAATACAAACGAATCTGGATAAACCTGACCTTTAATTTACAGTATCAAAGAAATAATTCATCACTGTTTTCAGATTATTTTTTGAGGTTGTTTTGAGTTTCTGAGCTTTGAAACAAATAGCCAACTACTTCAAAAAACTATGGATTGCCGGTAGAGAACGAGCGAGCTTCCATCAGCAGGCTTACGTTAGGCTCCAAATTTATCACTTATTTGTAACGAAATGCAATTAGAAAGACTGTTAAATCTCAGGGTATAGGCAAATTTACATGTAAATGTAAATAAGAAAGCAAAACTGAAATGAATTCTGGTAGTTGTAGTCAAATGTCATCATCGTAAAAGTGGCCTAATTTAAAGGGCTTTGTTTGTGCGCACTAAAGTATGCAATAAGGCGAAGTGTGTTGTCTCTTATTCGATTTTTTTGAATAAAACCTGAACCCCTGATTAGTTTGGTTTGTTGACTTGAAATATTTCAGGTAATAGCCATTACATATAAATATTTTTGTACGCATTGCTTGATTTGACGAAAAGATCAATTCTCCCAGATAATGATGTTCTATAGGTCCAAGAATGACTCATTTGTTGTCTGAATGATATGCCACTTCCTTAACTTATATAGAGCTATGGTATAATTTTGCTTTAGCTGCAAGATTGTATATATTGAATGTTGCAGATTTTATTCATGTTTATTGTTTTTTAATTTTTCAATGAAACAATACTGTCTTCCGCAAAGTTCGCAGCTCAAACCATGACCCTTTTTTCAAAAAATGAAAAAGAAAAAGAAGTGGTAGTTAGAATGTAAAAGTCATTTCGTATTTTCTACCTCGTGAATTACTTGTTAACTTGTTGTTAGAAAATAAAAAGAATTCCAATAAGCTGCTCCAGTTGTATTTAACAATCACTTGGTACAAAAGGCGTTAGACGTGAATACCGTCGCAAATGCATGGGTCAAGGGTGTGCTCCAATGACACTCCACTATTGAGCAGGGAAAACAAAGTCCGTTTACAAAGATGAAGTCTAGAATTAGACAGGGAGACAATACAAGTTCCCAGCCTGCTTTCAGGTTTTGATTCAGCAGGGTATCACGGGGTCCATGTGCCAAACTCAGCACTTTTTATGCGGAAAATGATATAATTATGTTGTTCATGTTTGAGGTTGAATAATAATAAGTCAAAGCGTCTCAGTTTAAAATCGAGACATGTATTCCCTTGTCATTTACAGAGTTATGCTACACTTTCGGGTATGGTTAGTTTAGATCAATGAAAGTTTTCAAATCGAAAGTTTTTTGTAATTCATTGTTTTCATTGGTCGCTCTTTAATAACAAATGATTAAATTATAATTAACCTACCACCTCAGGTATGCTTCGACGGACACAAAGAACAAATTATCTAATAACAAAAGAATACTAAAGTACTGACAAAACTTCCGTTAAATCCTATTACGAAACCAAATCCGTTGATTGGACTTTTCTCTATATTGTTTTTCGTTTCTTTGTTATAAGCCCTGAATCTGACGTAATGAAAACTTTCTACAGGCTATCTTGTACGAATTAGGTAAATGATATTTATAAACTTGTCGAGCAAAATCCCCTTACTATGAAACTATCGTGAGCATCATTTTCCGTAGAATCAATATTGCGTTTAAGTGATTAAATGCAAACGAACTGAATATTAATAGAGTAAAGGTACTTTTCAAGGTTTACTAATAAATTAATATACAGTGAAATTTTTGTTAAAGGATACTGAAAACAACTTCAGTTTTGTCTTATGCAAGCAAAAAATGACTAATCAAAACAAGGCTATAAAAGAAGGATCACACTCGCCAAACGTAACGAGAAGTGTTAAGCGACAGTTTCAGAGAGCCAACAATGTACAAGTTTGCGTTGGTGGTGAGTAAACATTTTCTCGTCCAATGTTTTTTTTATGTTTATTTTCTTGAGTTTTAGATTTGGGATTGATTTTTTTTTCTTTTCTGGTTTCGTGGTAGTGGTTATTATTAATTTCTTGCTTTATTACATTGCAATCAAATCAATTATTTTGAAAAGCTCGTCTTCAGTGACTTTAACTGATGTTGTGTTACTTTTAATTATGATTTGATCACAACTGATATTTCAGTAGTTCTTTTTAGTGTAGTAATGTGTCGTAATCTTTTCTATAAGCTAAGAATCTCAATATATACACTTAGCGTCTACAAAAAACAAGTGTATTTAAGCTATCGTTGTCCGTTCCGTTTTTCAAAAGCAATTTAGCCACAGTGTACAAGGTTACCAGTGTTTTCACGCTCGGTTTATTTTTAGCGATATTAGCCTCACTTTTCGTAAAAATGGAACCTCGCATTCTCTTGGGCAGGTGCTTAAAACTCTGCTGCTTTTCTCCTGGTTAAAGTAAAAATCTTAAACAGATATAATCTAGTTACTACGTAGTGTTAAAAAGAGTTTCTCTCGATGTTAAATCTTAAGCTTTTCAGGGGAAACAATATTTTTAATCTCTATGAACCAGGAAATTAAACAAATTATCATGTCTCGATACAATCAGTTGCTTCAAAAGGGGGGGGACTGTATTAAAACTATCGTTTTCTTTTGTTTAACCAGACAAAATAAGGCTATTATTGGTTTCACGCTTTATTCACGATATATATTAGCCCTTATACGTCGATAATTTGCATGGAACAGTTTGCATGCCCTTGGGGAAGTGTTTAAGAGCGGAAATCGTAGTTCTATTATGGACATTGGGATTTTGCCGTTTCCTTTAATTTCTGGTAAAAACAACAACGACAACTATGAGGCGCCATTTGTAAAGATATTAGCAAATTTCCACCTTTTTTCAATATTTCTTTATAACGGTCAGCCATCAAGAAAATTTATTTATAAACAAGTCCGAAAGATTTTATCTACAGTACAATAATAATGCGTCGGAGTTTGTCTCAATATTAAAACAACCGTGTTGCCCGTATTACCGCTTTAGGCTCTTTCGCTAAATAAGTATGATTAAGTTTGTTATGTCTCGGGGTCTCTATTAGGTTTCACCGTTATTAGTTTACAAAAACGTTTACTGAGTCGTTAGGCGTTCAAAATAGATAATATTAACCTTTATTGTAAAAGTTTTATGTCCTTAAATTGTCATTTTGAGATTGTTGAAATCGCTAGTAAGGGCCCTTTCTTGTTCTTTGTCTCTCGGCTGTTTGAGTGTAGTGGCCTTTTCTTTCTTTAAAAACTGTTTTGCAACAACAGAGAGTGATGTTATCTTTTAAAACAACAAATTTTTCAGAAGGGAAAGAAATTAACCTTTTAAGGTTATCCACTGGTATTGCACAGCGCATCTTTCAATGGTCTGTCACTGATCATAATAAGATGACTGCCGTGAAAAACAGCTTTTGCAGAAACATTATTGAAATGAATTCGACCAAAGAGAAACGTTAGTGAAATTTTTATGGTAGTTTTTTCTGTCCAAGATGGATGTCGATGAGTTGCAAATGTGCCTAGCGTAAGCGACACGTGTGTTTCTGATTTTCATCTCCTTGCATAGATAGTCCTTTGATAATATACTATGTAGACGTCAAACTTGTGCTGAATCCCCGCAAATGTCATTTAAGCTCTATTTTACACCCGTTGCGTCCTAATTGCGGTTATCTCGATCCAAATTCCGTAAAACTACTTTCTTCAGTGCTTTTTCGACCAACCAGATACATGCGACTTTGAAAATCGCCCCAGTACTTCCTCAAAACTTGAAAGAATTCATGTGGTAAGCACTTTCTGCAGCTCCAGTGAAAAGAAAAGTACATGCTTACATACATACATACACACTTTATTGTTACCTCCCCAAAGGGGCTTTTCAGGAACAATGATTATATTACATTATTTATAATAACTAATTACAACACTTAATCCAATACTAATTACAATGATAGCTAATTACTAATTACAATGTTTTAAACTTAACGAAGAAGTATTTACAAAATTATCTAAAAGCTGGCTCCTTAAGGAACGTTTAAAAATTTCAACAGATGGGCTTAACTTAAGAAAAGATTCCAAATTATTCCAAAGTTTAACAGTCCTGTAATAAAAGGTTCTCTGTCCGGAGGCAGTTCTGAAAAGAGGGATGTTTAGCTTTTGGCTACTCCGAGTTGTTCGATCGCTAACTTGCTCACGGGTAATAAATTGGGATGTAAGATATTCAGGGGGCTTGACCGGTCATGCATTTGAAGGCCATAATTAATAGCTTGGCGATAGTACAGTTAGTTCTTAACAGGCAACCAAGACAGGCTTTTTAAGAGGGGTGTTACATGATCATATTTTTTCGCACCGCTGACGATTCGGCAAGCAAAGTTTTGAACGACCTGCAATTTTTACAGAGCTAGGAGGATGATCAATAGAATAAAGTCAAATTCTGCGCGATATCTCACGCCTCATGAAGAAAATCGCGCCAACTTGTCTAGTTTTGTTCTGTGCCCAGTTATTGCCTTACTGAGCAGTATTCTTTAGCATTGTACCGCCGTGAAAACGTGCAGGTTACGACCCCCACTTCTCACTACATTTTATTATCTGCTGGACTTGCTACGACAGTTTTTCAAGTTCCATCAAAACTTTCCACCCCTAAGTCAACATAAACACGTACTTCTCACTTAGGGCAAAATCTTGGCTTAGGGAAGGGGTGGGTGGTCATTTACCCGAGAACCTCGATTTATCCTCTTTCATTTCGGAATGGAGCTCACTGTAGATTGAAAAGCCAAAACAGTAACGGAAAATGCTACCATCCCAATGAGATTCGATTATTGTTAACAAACGTGTTGTGACTTTCAGGCCTTTCTCTTCCATTTCTGTATGGTCACATCAAGTTTACCTTGTGGTCAAGATTGGTCATCTTTAGCAGGTTGCCTTCAGATGGATGCAACACAGACATCTTCCGATGACATTCTTAAGTTTATTCGTAATGAGGGATACATGATCGTTCCACCCTCCAACCCGCCATCGAAAACGCCAATCCCAGCGCCGCGCAGGGGTAAAAGAGCTGTCGGCACAAATTCAAACGCCTATACTGGGAAGTGCCCTTATCAGTTTCAAGTGAAAGATTTCATCGATACAGTACCAAGGTTTGTCAGCAATGCCACGTGTCCGGGCTGTGACGTCAGGTGCAAGCCTGTGGTGTTTACACAGCGTCTGCTTCGAAAACATTGCCAAGATTTCTGGTTATGGGAGGAGCATGACGTTCGGGTGGCTTACTATTTAGATCAGTAAATCAAGAATTACAGGCCAGACCTAAACAACCTATCTCATCAATAACTATAAGGAAAAGGTTTCCGTTGTAGTAGTACTCCATTTTTCGTTTCATTGTTTTACGTTTAAAGCTGTCTTAGTTATTAATTCGGAAGGTCATTCTGTTATCCAGCTGTGATTTGTCTTAATCTTAATTTCTAGTTCAGTTTTTTTTCCTTTTGCTTATTTACTTTTTAACCCTATTCAGACCGGAGGAAGTCCCTATTTGCTAAGAAAAATTCTTTGTTTCTTTTTTTGCTGATTGAACTATTATATAATGGTTAATTTAGCATCGTTTATTCGAAGTTATTAGAACTGTTAATTTTAATCCAGCCCTATTTTTGACTTATTTGAGAAAACAGAACATGGATTTAAAATGACTAAATGACAGATCCTGGGTTCAATTTTCGACAGCGGTCATTTCTCTGGTAATTTCATAACTTTTTTTTCTAGCATTCTTCTCATAGTCAGATTAAATTTTCTTTCACGATTACTTCAATTTATACGGGTTTTAAGTAAAGTAGAAATGATGACATTTTTATCAATTCTAAATGGTCGATCCAAGATGGCTTATATTTCCACCAGTTTTTTCTTTAATAATAAAGAATATTGAAGTTATAAATGGGAGTCGGTACCCTCCCCGCACCCCCACCTCCACCCCGGCCCTTTACAGGAAGCAAAAACAAGCCCGGTCTGTTTACGGTTGAGCGTTATAAGTATTATTATAAGTGTTGTATTATTTGAGTGTTATATTAAACAAAAGGCAATGTTTAAAAAGCATTTTGAATAAACCAGGGAAGAAAGCAAAGTCTCTGTCTTGACTTCATCAGTAATCTCTACATTCAACTCTTTTCGAGGCCCCTATTTTCCAATAACTGCAAAATAACTGCAAGTAATCGTTCCATTAATTTCCACTTAAATATGGACATAGGACATAGACACCATTTTTGGTCGGACTAAACCAAAATTTATTCGGACTAGATCGAGTATGTATTCCCATTGTGGGTCTTTAAAGAAAATTTCCCCATGGTAGGCGTGAGACTTGTACGTGGATTGGTTACTGCCATGTAGTGATACTCATGCTGACGTCACCTGTCCTGTCAATGTGCCAACCAGAAGCTGCTCGTTTCAAATTTGAATAGCAAAAGAGTGTTTGCAAACGGTGATGTCTCCCATAACACCGCGAAAATGTTAAAAATCGTAAATTTAAAATATTGAATGTGTATCGAACAGCTTTTTTACCAAATAAAATATGGTTTAGAAATATTTCCTGCCGTTTATCTATCCTCGGATGTACAACGGAGTGGGAAAAAGTGTATGCCAGCCGCTAAAGTACCTATGTTTACCCTTATAATAAACCTAGTTCCTTGGTGAGTGGTTATTTAACAGTTAATAAATGAGGCTGGGTATCTTATGAAGAATTATGGAGGTCGAGGAGGGTGTTATCCGTCGAGGCCGTAGGCCGAGGCGGATAACACCCTTCGAGATTTCCATAAATCCTCATATGATACGAAAGCCGAATTCAATAATTGTTTTAATTATTCATTCAAAGTAATTCCTAGTTTAAAAAACAAAGCTAAAACATGCTTACTCCATCGATGTTAAGTTTACCTTCGATAGTGCACGGTTAGGGTTGTTCAGCTCCGCAAATATTCTCCAAATAGCAGATGTCGCCCTTCGAGTTGTGTTCTCGCTGTTCTTGTCATGCTTTTAGCTATAATTTCGCCTAGTTCTTACTCTTGAAACGAGTGAAATGTCCGCCATTTTTTGTTTTCACAACCAAAACAACTTAACCTCGTCCCCAGGTCTTCTCGGTTAACGGTGCATTAACCTGCAGGAAGGCTGCACTTTTGACGTCATCGGTTCATTAAACGCAAAATTCTTCCAAATTTGGTCATCAGTAGCTGGTTATGGTGAATTATGCGTGTGCTTTTAGCCAATCAGAATCGGGGAAATATTTTGAATGAATAATAATATCTCTTATTCCTTTGCGTACTAATAGGTATTTGGTGTACAGCTAAGACATAAAATCTATCATAAAACCATGAATCCAACCCGAAAACAAATCAATTGAGCGAATTAAGTTTATTACTCCAATAACTTATTTACTTTTACAGCAAGAGTATCCATGTCCGTTCCGAGCAATTAATTCAGCCTCATTCGATCAACAAAGAGGGAAGATAAAGTTTATCTAAAAACTATGTATAATACATAATATACATTTCAACATTGTTATTACTATTACACAATTTGCGTAATAACAAGTTACTTACAAATGTACAAAATCAAGCAAATATTTTCAGAAACAACGATCAACGCTGTACGCAAAACATCCTCTATTAAATATTTACATTGAATAAATAGAATAGTAAGCTAAACATCAAAATAAATACATGTATGAATGCATATTCCGCTTCTCTACGATAAGTGATTAATTCGTTTATTTCTTAGACATGTTTTAGTGAACTCTGCTAACGATAGGGTTATTATAGTTACGGGGTATGACGTCATAGGTGGCATCGATCAAGCAGATTTTTTGCTTCCACAACACGCGCTTTACATTTGGGGCACTTAGGCACTAAATGACGCCTTTTATGCAGGCTAGCAGTTTTTCCGATCAAAGATAAGACTACTTTCCACACGAAAGTGCACATTTTAGCATCAATTTAAGTAAAAACTAAGACGGCAACCGTCTATCTTGGATGACGTCATAAGCCTCTAGCAGGAATATATCCGCGTAGACGTAATAGGACAATAACAAATCGGAAGAGTGAATTCGAGAGGTAAAATCATGTCTGTTGTTTGAGTAGATAATTTCTTTCCTACCCTGGCCTAAATAATGGACGTTTTTTATAAATTAAAAACTGCAAACTAAAAGAGACTGGTACAGCACTTCGTGTTTAACCTAGACAGCCCTTCGCTGCACCATGTCGTTAATTCCTTTTTTAAGTTATGTAACTTTGCATACTGCCAGCTGTACTGTGGGATATTGAATAAGGTTGTACACATTAGCTAACCTGCCAGCAAACTCTCCCTGCACGTCGCTCTCGCCTCTCGTTTCGCGTGCCACCCACGCATGACTTCGTCCGAGTTCTCCCAAATTGAGAGCCTGCTGGCAGGCTAGACATTAGCTATGTAAATATATCAAAGCTGAATTATCCTCAATTTTTTAAAGTTTCAATGACGTAAAAACAAATATGCAAACAAAAACAGAAAAAAAAATCTATAGTTAAGTTCCCTCTTGTTTCTTCGAAGATTCATGTGGTCTTCATCGTTGTTGCGTTCACTCTTTGTCAACCCAGACAAAGGCAATTGGTAAGGTCCTTTGGGTCCATACCCAAACTTTATTGCAATGATGATGACGAGACAGCAACTGATGAGTAAATGTCACCGGTTTGCATCTCGTATCGCAGCCGTCACAACGAGCATAATTTACAAATAGAGGTACCATATTGAGATTTTTCTGCACCTCATACGTAAAAGGGCACTTGGAGTTACGTACTGTGGTGGCCACAGGGGTACTCATGTCCCTCGTGCGTCTACTAGCTGGTCTAACATTTGGCCTTGTTTGCATCGGTAGTGGCGGATTAGAAGCTGGGACGATCATGTAATTATTGCGAATGTAACGGAGCACTTCGCTGGGTGTAACATTCGCAGCTTGCGGTACGTTCATCCGGAGACAGTTGGCCAGATTTCGCAATTTTTTGTGCTGATTGTGTGGAGGCGCACATTTGGCGAGGAGAGAGATCCCCAAGGCAAGTAAAACCTGCAGTAACAAAAGTTTCATCGTTATACCTCCTACCTCAAGCTCGTTTTTCCATTTGGCAATAACGTGTCACGTACTACTCGATGCCATGTCCCAAAACAATCTAACTCCCAAGGCCCAACTGACTCACTAACTCACCTGGAAGCTTTAGACTATTATGTCGAAGTGACGTACCTCTAAACTACAGGAAATTTTTTTGTAGCCAAGGCTGAAAATCTAATTTGTTTTTTGTCTTAGTTTTGAGTTGGAAGGATATGTAAGCAGTTTTAGACTGGTCCTACGTGGAAACTATGGGCGATTTCGACACTTCTGTACGTTCACCACATAACAAAGGATGGAAGGCCACGCGGGATGCTATAAGCCCACCTTTAAGTTTCGTTGTGCTACAATATTTTGGGAAGTTTATGCTTTTAATATATACCGTGACATAAGAGAATCAATTTTCTCCTTGGTTTAAATTTTATTCCCCTTTCCCTTTGGTAATGTATGATAATGAGCTTGAAACAAAGGGAAATAAAAACTTTAAAAAACTTAAACCAAAGAAAATTTGAACCACAACATAACCATGGATGGAAACTTACAGTTATGACTGACATTTTCTTCGGCATTTTGAAAAAATTAGATTAATCCGTTTTAATTGGTTTTGCTAAAACTTAAGACGGAATCCACCACGAAATTGAGTGACTAGTTTAATTGTCAATGGACAAAAACCTTGTACCGGAATAAGTTAAAGAATATTGCATTCTTTTTTACGTTTTTCAAGGTCTAAAGATGTAATTAGCCATTTTTGACAACAACAAAGAAAATTTCTTACCGGAGACCGAGAAAATAAATGTCCAATTTCACAAGAATTGTGAAAACAAAGGAAAAATTCAAGGTTTTTGTCCACTGAAAATTAAAATTACTCAATTTCCTGATGGATTCCGTCTTAAGTTCTAAAGTACGTTATGAATGAATATGCTGCTGCCTTTGCACTGTTTTGTACCTTTTTTGCTCACGAGAGTGCAAAACGCCCATTTTTGCTAAGAAATGGCTTGTCGGTCATAGATTACATTCGCAACAAAAACTCAAAGTAGAAGAAAATGTGGAGCAATAGTAATTGGAAGCGATGTTGATTATTTTACAAGAGCCACTAGGAAATAAAGCTTTACCCATGTGGATAAAGTAATTGCTGAAAGTATCTTTGATTACGTCCACTACTTGCAAGCTAAATGTTTTAGTTTTGATGACCTGGAGGTAAATTAAAAAAAAACAATGCCGGAAGCGCCGAAGTGACTTCGTTCAAAAAACCATTCAAATGTGCTAAAAAACGTTAACGTGAGCATAAATTGTAGAGGATTGTTGACTGCAACACAAATTTACTTAAGAAAATAAGATACTCAGTCTACGAAATAACACATGAGCAACTGACATAAATTTATTTAGGGTTGTTCAGCTCCGCAAATATTCTCCAAATAGCAGATGTCGCCCTTCGAGTTGTGTTCTCGCTGTTCTTGTCATGCTTTTAGCTATAATTTCGCCTAGTTCTTACTCTTGAAACGAGTGAAATGTCCGCCATTTTTTGTTTTCACAACCAAAACAACTTAACCTCGTCCCCAGGTCTTCTCGGTTAACGGTGCATTAACCTGCAGGAAGGCTGCACTTTTGACGTCATCGGTTCATTAAACGCAAAATTCTTCCAAATTTGGTCATCAGTAGCTGGTTATGGTGAATTATGCGTGTGCTTTTAGCCAATCAGAATCGGGGAAATATTTTGAATGAATAATAATATCTCTTATTCCTTTGCGTACTAATAGGTATTTGGTGTACAGCTAAGACATAAAATCTATCATAAAACCATGAATCCAACCCGAAAACAAATCAATTGAGCGAATTAAGTTTATTACTCCAATAACTTATTTACTTTTACAGCAAGAGTATCCATGTCCGTTCCGAGCAATTAATTCAGCCTCATTCGATCAACAAAGAGGGAAGATAAAGTTTATCTAAAAACTATGTATAATACATAATATACATTTCAACATTGTTATTACTATTACACAATTTGCGTAATAACAAGTTACTTACAAATGTACAAAATCAAGCAAATATTTTCAGAAACAACGATCAACGCTGTACGCAAAACATCCTCTATTAAATATTTACATTGAATAAATAGAATAGTAAGCTAAACATCAAAATAAATACATGTATGAATGCATATTCCGCTTCTCTACGATAAGTGATTAATTCGTTTATTTCTTAGACATGTTTTAGTGAACTCTGCTAACGATAGGGTTATTATAGTTACGGGGTATGACGTCATAGGTGGCATCGTTCCACAACACGCGCTTTACATTTGGGGCACTTAGGCACTAAATGACGCCTTTTGTGCAGGCTAGCAGTTTTTCCGATCAAAGATAGGACTACTTTGCACAGGAAAGTGCACAGTTTAGCATCAATTTAAGTAAAAACCAAGACGGCAACCGTCTATCTTGGATGACGTCATAAGCCTCTAGCGGGAATATGTCCCGCCTAGACGTAATAGGACAATAACACGTCGCACGAGTGAATTCGAGAGGTCAAGTCATGTCTGTTGTTTGAGTAGATAATTTCTTTCCTACCCTGGCCTAAATAATGGACGTTTTTTTCTAAATTAAAAACTGCAAACTAAAAGAGGCTGGTACAGCACTTCGTGTTTAACCTAGACAGCCCTTCGCTGCACCATGTCGTTAATTCCTTTTTTAAGTTATGTAACTTTGCATACTGCCAGCTGTACTGTGGGATATTAAATAAGGTAGTGCACATTAGCTAACCAGCCAGCAAACTCTCCCTGCACGTCGCTCTCGCCTCTCGTTTCGCGTGCCACCCACGCATGACTTCGTCTGAGTTCTCCAAAATTGAGAGCCTGCTGGCAGGCTAGACATTAGCGATGTAAATATATCAAAGCTGAATTATCTTCAATTTTTTAAAGTTTCAATGACGTAAAAACAAACATGTAAACAAAAACAGAAAAAAAAATCTATAGTTAAGTTCCCTCTTGTTTCTTCGAAGATTCATGTGGTTTTCATCGTTGTTGCGTTCACTCTTTGTCAACCCAGACAAAGGCAATTGGTAAGGTCCTTTGGGTCCATACCCAAACTTTATTGCAATGATGATGACGAGACAGCAACTGATGAGTAAATGTCACCGGTTTGCATCTCGTATCGCAGCCGTCACAACGAGCATAATTTACAAATAGAGGTACCATATTGAGATTTTTCTGCACCTCATACGTAAAAGGGCACTTGGAGTTACGTACTGTGTTCGCCACAGGGGTACTCATGTCCCTCGTGCGTCTACTAGCTGGTCTAACATTTGGCCTTGTTTGCATCGGTAGTGGCGGATTAGAAGCTGGGACGATCATGTAATTATTGCGAATGTAATGGAGCACTTCGTTGGGTGTAACATTAGCAGCTTGCGGTACGTTCATCCGGAGACAGTTGGCCAGATTTCGCAATTTTTTGTGCTGATTGTGTAGAGGCGCACATTTGGCGAGGAGAGAGATCCCCAAGGCAAGTAAAACCTGCAGTAACAAAAGTTTCATCGTTATACCTCCTACCTCAAGCTCGTTTTTCCATTTGGCAATAACGTGTCACGTACTACTCGATGCCATGTCCCAAAACAATCTAACTCCCAAGGCCCAACTGACTCACTAACTCACCTGGAAGCTTTAGACTGTTATGTCGAAGTGACGTACCTCTAAACTACAGGAAAGTTTTTTTTTGTAGCCAAGGCTGAAAATCTAATTTGTTTTTTGTCTTAGTTTTGAGTTGGAAGGATATGTAAGCAGTTTTAGACTGGTCCTACGTGGAAACTATGGGCGATTTCGACACTTCTGTACGTTCACCACATAACAAAGGATGGAAGGCCACGCGGGATGCTATAAGCCCACCTTTAAGTTTCGTTGTGCTACAATATTTTGGGAAGTTTATACTTTTAATATATACCGTGACATAAGAGAATCAATTTTATCCTTGGTTTAAATTTTATTCCCCTTTCCCTTTGGTAATGTATGATAATGAGCTTGAAACAAAGGGAAATATTAACTTTAAAAAACTTAAACCAAAGAAAATTTGAACCACAACATAACCATGGATGGAAACTTACAGTGACTTTATGACTGACATTTTCTTCGGCATTTTGAAAAAACTAGATTAGTCCGTTTTAATTGGTTTTGCTAAAACTTAAGACGGAATCCACCACGAAATTGAGTAACAAGTTTAATTGTCAGTGGGAAAAAAACCTTGTACCGGAATAATTTAAAGAATATTGTATTCTTTTTTACGTTTTTCAAGGTCTAAAGATGTAATTAGCCATCTGTGACAACAACAAAGAAAATTTCTTATCGGAGACCGAGAAAAAAAATAAATGTCCAATTTCACAAGAATTGTGAAAACAAAGGAAAAATTCAAGGTTTTTGTCCACCGAAAATTAAAAAATTACTCAATTTCCTGATGGATTCCTTCTTAAGTTCTAAAGTACGTTATGAATAAATATGCTGCTGCCTTTGCACTGTTTTGTACCTTTTTTGCTCACGAGAGTGCAAAACGCCCATTTTTGCTAAGAAATGGCTTATAATTATCAGTCATAGATTACATTCGCAACAAAAACTCAAAGTAGAAGAAACTGTGGAGCAATAGTAATTGGAAGCGATGTTGATTATTTTACAAGAGCCACTAGGAAATAAAGCTTTACCCATGTGGATATAGTAATTTGCTGAAAGTATCTTTGATTACGTCCACTACTTGCAAGCTAAATGTTTTAGTTTTGATGACCTGGAGGTAAATAAAAAAAAACAATGCCGGAAGCGCCGAAGTGACTTCGTTCAAAAAACCATCCAAATGTGCTTAAAAAAGTTAACGTGAGCATAAATTGTAGAGGATTGTTGACTGCAACACAAATTTACTTAAGAAAATAAGATACTCAGTCTACGAAATAACACATGAGCAACTGACATAAATTTAAATATGAAGATAATATATTCCTCATTTGTCTTTAAGTAACCTAAACTTACCAACAAACAAAAAGCTTTAGACATGATTCCTCCTTTTGTAGTTAATGACAATAAACGTTTGCTGAGCGGGTAATGTTTAAACTGAGAGAAGGTGGGTATTAATTCGTCTTAAATAAATAAGCCTAATTTCAGATATTGGTTTTCAGAGGTTATTTATTCCCCCTAAGTTGACAGATGCTCTAGAAGGGATTTTTTTAAAATTTATTTGATCTAAAATAGTTTCGCGTATTCAGCGCATTTTCTGTGAAAAGACGTCCGTTCACATTATTTGCAAGACTATTTTATTATTGAAACGAAATAGTTAGCATAAATTATAGATATCACGTATTATTGCTTAGAAGTCCTTAAGTACCCATTTGCAGTTGACGTTATGAGTTTGATTCATTATAAACCTTCTAAGTTGATACGTGTGTGAAAAAATATACTCCGATAAGTTTTACACTTAAAATAATACTTTTTTAGGGTTAAAGTTCTTTTATGGACCGACGTTAGTAATTTCGAACTTGAAGAAAGTCATAACTGTTTGTACTTTGTGGGACCGCAAAAGTTAAAAGGGAGTTTTCCCATGAAGTAATGCGTACAATTGTAAACAAAATGAACCTCCCGGCCCGTTTAATTGCTGCTTTTCGATCTAACTTTGAAAATACTTTTGATTCCACCGAGTCAGTTTACTCCAAAAGAAACGAGAAATATATAAAAACAAAATATTTACCGAAAATTGTTCAGCGACAGTGTCTCTTCAAAGCAAAAATTGAAGATTACATAGCCATTCTATTTAAAATTTATCCCCTTTAATAAATATTCGCCAAGTCATCTAAACGTTTGTTTTCTAAATTAAGAGGAAAAAGCTATCTTGAAAAGGAATTTTACTAGGAAAGCCTCAAGCACACTGATTCCTGTAATAATCAGGTGGAACTGATTTTGTTTACGCAAAGTTTATCCTTTTTTTTTAAGCATTAAATGTAATTCATCAGTTTGATAAACTCTAAAGTATAAAACTAAAATGCCAGAAGCCATATAAGAGACAATTATTGCTACGGTAACAAGAAAGAACGATCACATTATTTCAACTGCAATTTTCTCGAATTGTTGCGTCATCTTTTGCAGTGAAAATAGTTCTATTTGACTTTTTGATTCAACAGCTCATCCTTAAAAATCAGTTTTTTAACTTTTACAGCTCATTCTTCTTAAACCTTGCACAAATTTTTCGTTCCCGTCAGTACGTGCGCGTCTCAAAGCTGTTCGGTGAAGGTAATCTGCCGCATTTTTACACGTATTTCGCAAATAAATTCAATAAGTATCCACTGAATTCAGCTCCCATTTACTGAGATAAATGCCAATCAAAGTAGTCAAATGAACGCTTTTCTCTAATACAACACACAAAGCACTAAACATATTTCGCAAGAACTATACGGTGCATGCGTTTGTGTTGCCCATCGCAACAATATCCAGCCTGAACATCATAATATAATAATTTTTCCAAAGCCTTTTTTATAATGACGTGGGGACAGATTCTAACCATCACAAATGACCGACGTCATTTTCTTAAAGTATGCTCTTTAAGAAATCTGTATCGTGACTTACTGAATGTCACTCAACATTTGTCAGCAGAGTATACTTTTCATCTGGGCGTGCTTTAGATACCATATCCTTAGCTCGGTTATACTTACATACTTTCATTTTCAAGCAGTGTATTTTCCTTAAACTTTCTCAGATATTCATGCAGTCGTTTCGTTCTAATCGACTTGAGTAAGGAAAGAAATCCCACCGTTTTAGCTCGAATGACGCCGGAAAGAACTATTTTCTGGGCTAACACATGATTTGAAAAATTGCTAAACATTTGTCTTCTATCAAAGATAGCCTTAAACCTTGTATAAATCTCAAAATAGACTACAGGCGGCTCAATGATCATCCTGCCTAATTGTTTATATGCGATGAAGTAAGTCAGTGGCTAGCAATGAGACGTGACTTTTAATGCTCAGTCATAAAAAATGTTCTTGAGGTATAAGACCTCATAGTTGAATTCAAAGTGTTCCCAATCGGTTTCAAAAAGTTTAAAAGCGTGGGATTTGCCGTTACGGCCATGAACTTTTCAGTGTAAAACTGGTGTGGAAAAAGTGTCCACGTCGAGGGTTTGACACCTCTCTAAAGTTCTCCGCTGAAAGAGATTCTCAGTCAGAAAATTCGGGAATTTCTATTTGTATTTAAGTTACCTAACAGTGATCTTGACCTTTAGAGAAAAAGCCGTTGTGATAACTGATGCAGAACAAAAACATTTTATAGAGGGCGCGACATTTATAAGGAATAGAAATAGCAGCCTTGTGTGGTTCTTTGATATTTCAGTAGTTTATTGTTCTGAGTAGAGATCATAGGGAACTATTTAAAACATAATACTCTAATCCGAACCTTTTAACAGGCCTTTAAAAATTACTTATTCAATACTATTAACGCCCGGTTTGTTAATTTCAAGTAATTTCAGGTAATTTCAAGTAATTTCAGGCTCTATTAATTTTTGATATTACACCGTCCGCACCGTGCTTTTCCGAGCTCAAATTTTTATTTGTGAGTAAACCATTAGGTTTTATTTTTATATACATACATGTATATATTTTGGAACGTCTTCCTGTTTTACAGCGTTCAAGTGTCGTGTATATTGATCTGAGTCACTATCGTGTTACAAGGCGTTATCAAACCTAAATGCGGAAGCTAACTTTTGAAAACGGCTGAAAGTTCCTGATTAGGTCGGTAGTGAGAGAGTGCTTTGCTTTAGTAGGACTGGATTCAGATCAGTTCGCAGGACGATAACTCAAATGTTGAGTGTCAAATTGTTTTTATGAAATGATTTTGAGTCAAAACCTAAGTGGAACACTGATTGAGTCAAAACTACTGGTCAAAGGAGTAGTTTGCTAAGTTTATAATGCAAGGTTTTCAATCTTTTTTTTTTGTAAAAGTAAAAGGATTACAAGGCAGAACGGAAAATGATTGGTCATATGTATTATAGAAATTCACAGTTTCCATTCCCTGGATAAATTATTAGTAAAAGCCCAAGACGGCGGTCAAAGAAAGTGGCCATTTTGAATGAGGTCCTGCCTAGAAGCGCCATATTCGATAATCATCATGGGCTTTTTTTTATTTCTTCCTGTGCAGATATCGCGTGTCCACTGAAACGTAACAGACACATTGAACTTTGTTCCTGATCAACTCAAACTCAAACACAGAACCATTATAGAATCGTTTCGCAACTCTGAGTCGTTTAATTATTCATGTTCAGTCAGTAGTGAAAGCGTAATTTTACGAGGGACGATAAGATTAAATGCAGAGTCCCAAATTGTTTTTCTAACTATTTTTCATGACCTAATTCAATCACTGTTCGTTTTTCCTTCAAATACATTTTGACTTAATATGTGAAACTAGTC